CCCCCCCCCCCATCATAGTATGAAACAAGCACCCCTCTTAAATAAGTGCCCACCTTCCTCCTCCCTCCTCCCTCACTTTCTTACATAATAGAGATACAGGGAAAACCTGTTTCCTTTGCCACTTTAATTATAATTTTTTGAGCTTCAACAGCAGCTGAATCAGTACAGGATAAAAATTTCTTAACAAGCCCCCCCCCCCCCCCCCCCCCCCCTGCCCATAGATTAAGAGCCTTCCTCTCAATAAGCCCAGGGGGGCCCCCCCCCTTTTAGCTGGAATTTTACATGAGTGCCCAGGTGCTTATTCAAGGAAATATGATAAGAAAGTGGCTGACCTTTTGTTGGAGTAGTGAAATAGTGGTCTGAACAACAGGGTTGTGTTGTTAACAGGTGGTCATGTGATGGATTGTACTATGATGTTAATGCCTTAGTTGATCCATCTCAGTCACTTTGTGTTGGTCACAGCAGTGAAAGTTTGAAATCGAGAATATTGCATGTAATACAGTTGGTTGAATACTCTGAGAGACAAGATGGTATTTGTTAAATTGGATCTTGAAATTCATCCAGGACTTTAATTTGAGTTTTTACACCAAGCTATAGACTCCTAATTTCTTATTGTCTGCAAAGTCATGAAAAGGAGACATAAGCAAAAAAGCAAAGAAGACATGCCAATTTAAAGAGAGGGAAACGTTTCTATTTAAGCAATAGAAAGATTTTGTAGCTGTGTTCATGTTAAATGTCCAAAGAACACCTTGTTCAGTCCACCATCCTTGCTAGAGTAATCTTTATATTTATTTACACTTTTATGTTCTGTTTAATTTATCGAAGGAGTATTTGTTTTGAAAATGTCTTTGAAATAAACTTTAGTATCAACGCTTATTGAGGAAAAGATGATTCTTCAATTTTATCACTGAAACATTCCATCAATGCTGTTTCATTCTCGATTTTTGTCTGATTATGATTTTGTGAATTTTTTGGTAGGGTGTGGATGAAGGAAGAGGCTACAGCGATGAGTTAGAAAGGCTGAGAAAAGAAAACAGTGATCTTAGGGTATGTATTGTACAATGAGATCTTAACCCTATAGTTTATGCCACTAAAATTTACCAGTGTCAAACTGCTCTTTCGTGCAAAGTTTTCCCTGATAAGCTCATTTCTCGTCTCGGTTTGATTAGGACGTAATGAAAAAAAAATTGTCAACAATACTTGCCAAAGGAAACCCGGCGGAGAATAAATTTCCCGTTACCTTTTAAATTTTGTTTTAGAGGCCTCCCTGTCGAGTCTTCAAGGCTAGAAAATCCTCCCCCTTTGGACATGGAGATTTGCTCAGTATGGCAACTTAAGTTATTTATCCAACTAAGATTTCTTTCATGTATAAAAGACTTGTGTCCTTTTTTTTCCCATTGCTGGTACGTGTAGTAACAGTGATGTTTTGTCTTAACAGGCTGAAATGGATCAAGTTCGGTACAGGAAGAATGTGGCTTCCCAGTCTTCCGCAACAACACAGGGTTCATCGCCCAAGGTATCTACACTCCTTGCACCAGACGACAGCGTCAATTTACCGCCATCGGTTATTGCCTACATCGTCTTAGCCTTGATATTCGGTGTCGTCATTGGCAAATTTATCCTGTAAGAGACAGTGGATCTCGAAAATATTTTAACGCGTTATAGAGCAAAATGAACAGACGAAAAAGTTACCATCATGAAACAGATTTCAAGTGTTTAAATATGCAGTTGACACTGTAACGCACAGAGAAATTTTACTTTTAAAAGTTCTAGTGGTAAATTAAGTCGTTGAACGAAACATCTGATCAATAATTACTTTTTCGCTTTCCCCAAATCTCACAATTTGATCTCCCGTCTCTCTTGTACCATTTGAAGGCATTTACTAGCTACAGAAACAGTGAGTAAAGAATATAGAATTGAAGAATGTCTCGTCACGGCTTTACCTTATTTTAAAAGAAATATTCAGTGTCCCTGAGTACGTGCATGGCAAAACACTGATCGATCATTACAGGGGAGGGTATCTTTTGACGCTTGATTAATTGGATTGTGTCATGCCAGTTAAATTAACTTTGTTTAAGGTTTTGCTAATAACTCGCCATAAAATTGAACGTTGGCAGGAAATTGACATATTTATAACGTATGAACATTCTTAAATAGCGTCACTTTCGCTGGTTTAAGAACAGGCTGAATAGTTTTAAAATGCCTCCGGGGTGAGAAATATTTTTTTTTAATCTTGGTCATTTGCTTGCATCCTTTTTTTCTTTCGTAATTGCTTTGTGTGTTGATCGTTTTCACGATGTTAAGGAGGTTATTTTTCAAGCTTTTATTTACTTAGCTAAATTCTGTGACAGAAGTTCATGTTCAGCAAACCCCCTAAGAACTTTCGTTTTCTCCATAGAGACAACCCATTCCGCGTTTTCAATGCTTGCAATGAAATTCAGAGTAACGTCCATTACTAAAACATCTTCGGACGCTGCAATCTTTTTTACACGCTACTCGCAACATACTCCGTGATAGATATTTGGAAAAGTGGGCAGCCTATCTGTGCACGTTTGTAAGCAAAATGAATCAAAAACAGGAGACTCTCTTGTTGTTAACTTCCGCGGAACGACTAGTGGTCTAGTCTATTGCATGATTGTCTATTTGGGCGGCGCCGTAATAAACTACCATGCGATGGAGAACCAGAGCTCGTAATGTTTTTGATAGAAAGCGCGGTGCACACCAGGTTGGCAGGGGGTAACACCGTCTAACAGCATATTTTAGATCATCCGTTGGGGCTTACGAGAGGGTTAACTTAACGATTCTTCCTCACTGATTGATGAAAGTTCGATTAGAGTTTCTGATGCGTACAGGAAGTTCGTCTTCTTCAGATACCTTTAAAAGTAAAGTTTGATTGGTAGTGGGGCTTTTGAGAGCACATTTCGATTCGGTTTCTCATGATTGAGTCAGATCTAGAGTTCTTTTCGCTCCATCAGTCAGTGAAAAGAGACCGGACAAGCATTGTGAGCCGTCAATCGTGGGAGGTGAATGTGACACGCGTGACGTGCTCTCCTTGGTTACCTTAATCAGGAAGTGGGACACCCTCATTAATCGGCGAAATGACATTAAGAAAACGAACTAAGATTCTTCCTTTTAAGGATATTTGTTGCTTTAACCAACCCAACCACTTTTCCATGTCCTTTCACCTTCAAAATAATTCCTCATATCATTCTTTGGAAGATCTTACACGCCCAGGAATTATCATAAGGTCTTCCTTCTCTTTAAAGAAATTTTTCCGACACAAGACGACATGACATTCTCCATAAAAGAGCATATTTGTCCTTATTATTAATTTTTCTGTAACAAGAAAACGAATTAAGAAATGTGAACGTTGCCGACTCGATTTTTCTTACAAGGTTAGTTACCTAGGAGATAGCTATCTCTAAGTGTTCAACAGCTGTTATTTGCCGTGTACCAATGAGAGCGCGATGTCTTAACTGGAACAATTGCATTGAAAACAGGTTTTTTGGATATTGAATATTGATTGTTAACGAGACGTTAAAACTGCCAACGGTACATCAACGTGATTAACCTAAAAACCGCAAAATTCTGACTGGTAAGTCCATGATGTCGTAAATAAATTGCGACAGTTTTATATTCCTGACTTATAATCGCTCTAGAATGGGGTAGACGTTTTTTTTAATGATGTTTTGTTATTAGTGTCAAATTTATTTGCCATTACAGAGAGGCTTTTACTTCTGTTCTCCCTTTCATGCCAACAGCGACTTTTGTACCCTGCTCCTTATTTGTAATTCAGCTCCAATATTCTAGATAAAAGCCTTTGAATATATCCTCTTAACGTGTCATAATAAAAGACAATGATAAGTCTGACCCGAACGGGTATTGCGGCTCAACGCTTCATTTCACATGCATGTGACGTGGACCAGCCGTGATAACAAAGCCTTGAAATAACTTCTTAAAATACACAATTCTGTCACTGCTGCCGCTCACAGGATTTGATAAGTTTAATTCCAAATTGATGAGGGAATAATTCTTTCCCGTTCAAAATGGAAGGCTTTACAAGAAAGCGATCTAATAGTGTTCCAATTTTGTCGCAGATAGAGAAAGTATTGGATCAAAAAGAAGATCTTGGATTGAGTGAAAGACGATCGAGTGAAATATTTTCAAGATTTTGTGAAACTCGATCGCCTGAAGACACAGCTCGGCCGAAGGTTAGACTCTCAAGTGGTGGCTTAATACGAAATCAGAAAAGAAGGCGATCAAGAACTATGGGAAATACACAAACCGGCTCGACACAGCCGTGTGAACAAGAACAAGATGCGATCCTCGAAAAGGCAACGCCGAGGGCTTTTTCAACCAGTGAGGTAGACATTACAAACGATGCCTTAGAATCTTCACCAACAGGAACGACAATATCTCACTCACTTCTTAAAGTGGACGAATATCCGCAACGTCATGATGTTCACGCTGAACAAGAACGTTGTGAATCCTTTTCGATGATGACGAAAAGAGAAGATGCCTTCATTGAACAGGCATCTGGTATAATTTACAGTAAAGATACACCGGGTGATTATACAGTAACAGATCAGGCGCAAGGGACAGCCAATATAGATTCCTGTAATAAAGAGGATTCTTTACATTCGGGATCATCCACTGAGATCTCATTACCATATGAGATTGGCGACCTTGAAGAAGAACAAACACCAGACTTGACAAATTCATCCAGTATTGATTCTTCACATTCGGACAAGTTTGGCAGTTTGATTAGCGACTTTGACAGGCTAACTATGATTGAGTTGCATCGCACTGAACAGGGCAAGGAGAATGAATTATTTTCAAACTTTGGAAGAAGAAGGAATTCGTTGCCCTCCTTTTTACAACAAAGAAAACCGGCTTTCATTGAAAAAAGTGATAATTTTGTTAAAGAAGTTATAACCGACTTACAATCAGCTGCTCCAAAAGGCTTGAAAGCTAAAACGCGAAGAAGTCAATCATCGCCTATGACAAGTTCACGGTTTGTTGGTAAAGCCAAAATTTCTTCAAATGATAAATATTCTAAGCACCAAGATGTCAAACATGGTCTCCGCCAAGCAGTCGGTGAAATCGAGAACACGAATGAACAGTCACGACAAGGAAAATTATCACGCAAAAATCGCTCACAATCTCTACCAACTAACACGTCATTTAACTTAATCAAACGTGTTCAACAAAGGAGTTTACAAAGTCACGAAAGGGTACCCCAACTCAAAGAAAAAACTAGAAGAGTGAAATCTTTGCCTTTTATCTACGAAGGTTTGACAGAGTCTGAACTTCCAAGTTATACTCAAACCACACACACTGGATTAAAATGTAGCGATTCTATCGAAAATAGCAAAGTTGAGACCGAACGGAAACAACTGCTCAACGAAGGATCCAGAAAGATCAAACAAAAGGCATTGTTAGAAAGAGCGAGTTCGTTTCCTATCTGTGGAACAGATGGGCAACAGAAACAAACAGACAGTATTCAAAAACAAATAAAGAAAGCTTTAGATATGTTTTTCTCGCAGAAAGCTGGTGATGGATTCCATGTGGGTCGGGGGAAAAGGTCGAAATCACTCCCGAATGTCTTTGAAGGGAAAAAAAATCTTAACTTTGAGAAACCTCCAGTGATGAACATTCCAGAAGCTGCCACTGCAGAAGGAAGTCAGGTTTATGATGCAGTTAGCGGTGTGGGAGATGAAAGTATACAGAGCTGTTCAGATGAAGAAACAATAACAAACGAAGAGACAAAAAGTGACGTAAGTTCAGAGGGTGATGAACTCGAGTTGCGAATTTCAACCTCGGCATACTGTCATGATTTGCCACCTGTTCCAAGACCTCGAGGATTCTCTATACCCTGTTCTTTCAAAATGGAAAAAATTCCTGAGGAACCAAATGAGTCTGAAAACTGCGATGAAGTTGCAAGCTGTGACGGAGGAGATACTGAAGATGTGACAAATTATCTTTGTGAAAATCATTCTAACCAAACAATAGATTCCACGCCACTTAACGATAACTCAGGCGTATCGGAGCAAGCTGAAGATCATCTCACTGAGTCGGATGTCAATGAAAGCAGCTCTTTTGAAAGCAAAACAGAAGAAAACCGACAACATATCATTTTTGAACATAACTTAGAACTCTTCGACAAACTAGTTACTGAGACTTTCTCTCGAATGCAGCAATTGGAATTTGCCAGCTCCTCTTCTTGCCTTCATCGAGCAGCTGCAAAGGGAGATTTAGACAGCATTAAACTATTGGTGGAGGAGGGAGATGACGTCAATGCTTTGGACGAATTTGGTTGGCCAGTTTTACACGCTGCTGTTACAACTGGAAACTTCGACTGCTGTGAATGGCTGATTGATGCAGGCGCCGACCTAGAGGCCTACACAAACTTTGTTATTGAAGAATACCGACTGCTTTCTCGGCAAGTTTATCACAATAACTAATTGTTGTATTAGACGAGGGAGATGTATGTATTTGAATTGCAAATGCCGCATAACTGATCAGTCTGCTGGAATCAAATTTATATTCTTTTTGTGATATTCAAGTGAAGGTCAATCGTTTACTGAGGATTGTTGCTTGCAATTGAGGCTCGCCAAATGGCTCTTAAGAGACCTGAATAAATTGTGTACAATGGGTTTAACGAGAAAATAAATCGAAAGCTACATAAAACATATATCGTTTTGACTTGCGTGGAGATATAAGTCCTATCTCGACTCTATCTACAGATATCTTAAGTTTTCTAGTGAAAGTGAATTCCAGATAGGTGCGGCCTTTGTGACTTGGTTGGTCCATAGTGACGATGTGTAAAGTGGATGTCTACCTTTCGTACCAGTTATATAGTCAATGCCCTTTCCAACTTTTCAAAAAGGGGAACTCCTGACCTCTTTTGACTCATGGCGGTAACAGTTTTACTGTGAAGTTTACTTAAAATGCCTCTCAGATATCACTCAAGTTCATACACAAACGTTAAAAATTGCGTTACTTGCGACTAACTGCATTCTGTCAGAATGATAGACTTTTCGTCATAGGAGTCTGACGGAGCCTCAGCTACAGTTTCATTCCGTTTACCATCATACCTCCTTTCTGGTAGGTTCTTTCTAAAAGGGGAAATGATAGGCAAGAGACCTCGCCTACACGTTTGTCAGGACCGGTGAAAAGAAGAAAATTCTGATTTGAGCGAGCTGGTTGGTCACTAGAGTCGAGGCAATCTCAATGGACATTTTCGCTGGTAGATAGCTTCCCGTGCTTTTTTCCTCCCTTCCCTCACTTATTCGACCTGTTCCCCTTCGAGGAGTCTAGATCCAGGCTGAGATAATTACCGTTCTATCGTCATTTTCGTCAACAGACTTCACCCTACTTTCCTTCCCGAATGAGTTCCAATTGCTTAATGCGTAGCTGTATTTACGACGGCTGCGTTGTGATTTCAGATCGGTAGTTGATTTATAACAGTATTGAGCTGGTGGAAAAAACGGGGAACATGTACCACTTAGTAGAGCAGTGGTGCCACCTTTGGGGACTGTAGGAACCCGAGGTAAAAACCATCGTTTACAGTGATAAATAAATGTAACCATTCACAAAACGTAAATCTTAGAAGAGCTTTAACCTAGCGTCGACATGATGATGTATGACAAAAAAACTCAGCCTTAATTCATGAAGGGAGACTGTGGAATGTCCTATATCCGTAACGGCTTCAAACTACTTAAGATACGATTGATTACTCTGATACATACCAGCCCACTGGTAAATTTTACCAAACTAGGGTCATTATGTTAAATAAAATGTTGTATGAAAAATAATCGTCATCTTCAGAACCTTCCACATTTATAAATATGGGAACACAGCGAAAAAAAAACATTCATTAGTCCATAAAGAGAAATCGATGAAAAACGTCTGCAGACTGATCGATTTCTGGAATCAATCAACTATCGATTGGTGGTGAGGCTTTCTCAAAGTTGAGTCAAGTTGCGTCTAGTTGCGTAATTAAATATTGGTCAGCGGCTACTAATCGAAAACACGAGGAACCAAGATGGCGGATCAGATGGCTAATGAGGACAGTGGTAAAGTAAAGCACATTGTGGCGGACTCGGCCGCTTTTTTGAAAAATGCGCCGCTTCATGAAATGTGTGAAAATGTTTATACAGTTGAGGATGTTGTGAATGAGATCAGAGACGCAGCAACTAGACAGCGTTTGGCTGTGTTGCCGTACAAAATCAACTTTAGAGAGCCGTCAACAGAAGCACTACATGCGGGTGAGTTATGAGCGATGAAATCTATATTATGCGGATCCCATATCAAATGGACCCCTTGCTTTTTGGACATCGAACAAAGTCGTTACTTGTTTCTCTTATTTACTCTAAAACAAAGGTGTTTTTGACGGACTTCTCTACAAGGAAGACCATAACACTAGAATCAAGCCCCGTTTATGAAAACCCAAATATTAAAGTTCTAATATCGTGTCCAGAAGACGCAAAGAAAGAAAGAGGCACAGAACAATTGAAATAGTGTGCAGTGAGATAAAATTATAATAAGACTGTATCAGACCAAATGTTAAGGACTATTGAGTTGACTTAACATCAGTGATGGTACATGTACATAAAACATTTAAGTTTTCCTGGAGGTATTATCAGCAGGCCATACTGATCTTACTGAAGATATTAGAAAATGTCTAACATGGTAAATGCATTGTGGGGTTAAGGGTGCTTGGGTTTTTAGAAATGAGAGGAGATAGCAACTCAGTGGCAAAAACCTCAAAATTCCACTCATATATGGGGATCAATTCACAGTTGTTGTCATTTCTTTTGTAAACTTTTCCTCCTTCTTGCTGTCATTGAAACTGTGTTAATTTTCATAGTGACTGAATTTGCAAAGCAGACAGGAGATTTTCGAAGTCTTTCTGTCGTTGACCTAAAGGTCCTGGCTCTCACTTATCAACTAGAAAAGGAACATTGTGGCATTGATCACATTAAGACCAAACCCACCAAACAGGTTAGAACTTATAAGATTCAATGTACTAAAGTCCTACTTAAATACAGTCAGTCCATTTGGTAATCAAAGGCAGAATACTTAGAATGAGTGCTTTTGTACAGTTTCTCTGATTTGCATGATCATGTTGACTGTGTGTGTGTGAGGTGGATTACCAAAGGAGTAGTTCCCCACCCCTCCACCCTCTTCTATTACCTCCCTTATGGAATCTAAGTAAATAAAACCCATTCATCTACATTTCCTTAGGAAAAGTATCTGTTGTACTCTGTATGATGCAGTCTTCACCCAAGTTACCAACCAAGATGACCACACTGCAAATCTTCAAACTATCACTTACCCTTCAAGAAAGGGTCTCTTTGGAATCAGAAATACTTCAAAATGTGTCTCGTTTCCTTAGAGAAGTGCCCCTTTCTCCTCCCCTGATCATTACAGATGAGTGGTCATGATCACTAAACCAAAGATGCACATATTTGATCTGGAAAAATTGTTTAGAGACCAAACTGCATCACTTTTAAAACCCAGGATCAGCTTTGTGTATTACTCAATTTATGTTATTGTTTATATTCAGATGTTACAAAAAAAAAACAAAGATATGTACTGTAGCACTGATGTTAGAATAATTAACCAAGTGCCCCCCTCCCCTCCCTCTAATAAGTGTCTCTGACAACGCACCTTATACAGTGTGTCATAAAATGTTTTTTGAAAATGTTATTGATATCAACACATTACCAAATCCAGGTAGAAATAACTCAAGGGTTTGCAGGAAAGACAGTCCCTGGCTTCTTTATGGAAAAAGTGAGTGTACCATTATATATTAAACTATTGTATATTTTCATTTCTAACACTAAGGCTTCATTCTCTTTTCTTGATATATTGCTGTGATCTTTTTAATCACTATTAGATCTTTCTATCACCCAAGATTTTCAGATATTATGTGATGCAATTCCTTTATGATCACCTGGCTCAGAATGATTGAACTTTCTATCACCCAAGATTTTCAAATATTAAGTGATGCAATTCCTTTATGATCACCTGGCTCAGTATGATTGCATTTTATTATTCCACTGTTACACCATTTTATCATATTAGGGCAGTGGAACACACAAAATGTGCCATTACACTGAAGTATAATGCATTGCTATAGAATGGGAAAAAATATGGTTGGAAAGTGGAGCAAAAAAATAGCTGCACTGAATGACCCCACTTTTAAGTGCATCAAATTTTTTTTTGGTCTCACACTATGTTAAAAGCATTTTAATGGTTTCACTTGTGTTCTTTTTAATTTTTACACAGGCCACAATGGATCAATACTGTGGTCAGATAGACTGTACTTTGAAAAATAGATGTCTAAATACTCGAAAATGAAATCAGAATGGAATTATAAATACCTTATTCAATGGTTCACACACTATATGAGCAGCCATTTTACCCATTGCTTGTATTTTTCCTGGCCCATACAGGGCTTGGAAAAGTACTACATGACTTGCAAAACATCAGTGCATATTATATTGTATGAAACCATTGAAGAAGGTGTATGTATTGTCTCTCTTTCCTCTTAGAAGCCAAAAGAGGAAAGTGAAGAAACTGAGCTAAGAGATGAAAGAACAGTGTGCCGCACAGTTGACAGTGATAAAACTACAGGAACAGATGGACAACAGAACAATACACCAAATACAAGTGATGAATGTGAGACAAATGCAATTGATACATCAAGAACTGAAATAAGCACAGCTGCTGAAATTGATAAAAACAATGACTCTACTGCTCAGGAAATTACAACTGGTATGGAGGCACTGACAGCAAATGATCCAACATTAAATGACTCTAAAGATGATGATGAGGGATTTGAGGAAAATGATAACAATGTTGATGGTGAGGATGATTTAGACAGTGATATTGAGGAGGATTGTGAGCATGAAAATGGTGATGATTTTGGTGAGGATGATGATGATGGTTGGATTACACCTGATAACATAAAGCAAATTAAGAATCAGATGGGGAAAGGAAGCCAGAATGCTTTGCCAGCTAATGTGACTGTAGGCTGCCTTACAACTGATTTTGCAATGCAGGTAATAGAGATTGTCCGTAATTCTGTTGTGACTGAGGAATTCTTACAGTTAAGCATTTCCACAATTGCCACCTGAAGCCTAATCACATGTTATTTAACCATATCATACCATATCTCTCTGTATTTTACATTGACTTGTTGTTGTAGGTTATGGCAGATAACTTTTTGATAGCTAGACATTTTAAATGAATTTGGAAGTGATCTTCACAGTAATAAACACTGCTTAAGTAATAGAGAAACTAAGGTCTGAAAAAAAAGATTTAGACCTGTATGGGATTTGAACCCATGACCTCATGGATAGTGGTGCAGCGCTCTATCAAATGAGCTAACAAGCCAACTGGGAGCTGGTCGTGATGTTGGTTTGTAGTAAATCAGTGAAGTGATGAGTAAATGACAGTAAATATATGAAAATCATATATGTGAACTGCAGTTCACAAGTATGATTTTCATGTATTTACAGTCATTTAGACATTTTTAAGTTAAAAGAAATGGGTATTAAAATTTTTAAATGCAAAACGTACATAACAAAATCACCTTACTTCATCACCTTTTTTTGTCAATACCTTAGTGACAGAGAAATTATGAAATGATGTTCAGAAAAAAATGTTGGCAAAGTTAAACAGAGAGACAAAAAAATTGTGTTAGCCTTTTAACTCCCAAGATCTGATTGTTAATTCTCCCCTCTAGCTGCTACACATTTCCTTGTAAATTAGTTTCAAGAGTTTGGTGTTAGATCAAGATAACAAATTCTAACCGGTTCTCATCACCTGGTGGCTGGATAATGTATGGATATTATAGGGAGAAATTAAGTGTTCATCACTAAGAGTTACAAGCACAGTTTTAAAGGGAGTTTGGCTGCAACTTTTGTCATTCTCTTTCAGAATGTATTGATTCAAATGGGTCTTCATGTGATATCGCTTGATGGTATGCTGATCAGGGAAGCGCGCAGTTATGTGTTGAAATGCTATGCTTGTTTCAGGTGAGTTCATTTTTAACTGCGGATTCGTTGAAAACTTGAAGATTTTACTAATTAAGTGTTATGAATTTGTGCTAATGGAGAATTGCAGAAAGAAGGAAGAAACAAGTTGATTAAAATGAAACACAAATTGGAAACGTATGAACTCCATAACTCCCTTGCAGTTATTTACAGATGAGGAAAGGAGACAAAAATTAATTATCAGCTGGAGGGGGTTATCTTGATTAAACATCAAATTCTCTCAATTGATCTACAAGGAATTGTGTTGAAGGTAGAGGGGAGACTTCTTTTAGGGAGACACATGGAGTTATAAGTTTTGGTGTTGAATTTTTTACAAATCCAGTTGCAGAGATCTTTGCATACAGTTTTAAAGACAGTGATAACAGATTGCTTTATTTTCTGGCATCACTGAATTGTTTGATTATCAGATGTTTGAAATCCAATAAAAACTAGATTTACATTCCAAAGTAGATATTGTCTAACTACAGCTCCTGGTGTGCACTCTGTACATCCTCTACATTGGAAGGTGGGATCAGGACTTGTAACAGCATATTTGTCAATGTCCAGAGGCACTTACAAATGTGGGATTTGCTTGTTGTTGTGTTAATTTAGAGTGACATGTCAGCTGGAGAAAAAGTTCTGCCCATCATGTGGTAATAGCACTTTGGTGAAGGTGTCTGTTAGTGTTGATGAGGATGGTATAACCCATTACCATCTGCCTAACAGAAAGAAACCGTTTAACATCAGAGGAAAAAAGGTAGTTTCTGATAAGCATAACTTTTAACTGTCACAGACTTTGTCAAGTATGTAGGTGGCTTATAATATATGTTGTAGACTTCTATGATATTCTCATTTCGTAATGTTGTATACATCAGTTAAACTACATTTGCTTATATTTTCGTGAAGATCATTTTGCACACATCAACATCCCGGCTTAAAGCTCCATCGTATGTAAGTTTTTTTGTCCCAGTCCCCCTCATTAATCTCCCCCTCCCCGAGCAGGCGAGCTCCCCTCTAATGTTAGTATAATTTAGGTAAGAATCAAATCATGTACATGTATCGATGAACAAGCTGTTCCATGTTTCCATTTCCATTTCACTCGCCGTATACTGTAGCATTAACACTCAACGGGTTTTGATATTACTGTCTTGACACACTTGAATGTCCATCTGTGCATCAGTTACCCTGTAACTGTCTTCTGTCTACCACAAGTTAGAGAAGTGATAGTGTTTCTTAAAGGATATAACATTTTGAATTTCTTCTTCGGGTCTTGAAGATAAATTTTGCTTGTCCAAGCGGCCATGCATTATTCTGTTTATTTTATAAACACCAATGAAAAACATAATCATTTTACTATTTTAGCGAAAGGCGCGATTTATTATGCAACTAACGGTGTTATTTTCACTTGTGAAGATAAGATGTTATTTTCACGTATGAACATATCACGTGTTCGGGCGAAAGTTCACCTGGTATTTCACTGGTGTTTATGTGATTAATATCTTTCTTGCTATTGTTTTGCTGCATGTACATGACATGGTATTCATCAGCTTCCTGCCCAAACTCGAACGGTGGATCTTTGTTCCTGTGAAACATAAAAACTCTCGCAAAACGTCATCTTTTATGCAACTAAAGAGATTGATTTCTGTGTTTCTAAAATTTACTTGACTTGTTCCCTTTTTCTCATAAATTTTTTTCAGTTCCCCCTCCCTCGGCCCCAAGGCGGTCGCCACAGTAGCAACCCAGTCCTCACTGAGGACCAACCCCGTGGTCAGCATCGTCTCCCGCGGAAGAAAGATAACATGAATGTGTTTGATCCTAATTACATCGCGCGCAGCTCACCATTCGCCGCGAAAGATGTAACAAGCCGCGCCTCGCAACTCGGTTATCACTTGAAAGGTGCTCAAGATTATCAGAATAGACGGAATCCAAACGAGGTCAGGAAAAAATCTGGACGGAGAAAGAAGTAGAGTGCTTGTGATCTATTTTCTCTCCTTCATGTTTAAAATTCGAGCGTGTGTTCCGTTGTGCGTCTCTAACCGCATATCATGTACCCAAAGGAACCCTCGCAAGTTGCACTCACACATACAACAGGTATTAGAATAGATTTTTTAGCAAACCTCGTGAAATATGTGTACATGCTTAAAATGGAAATGCTGAATAAAATTACATCCTCGTAGTCGAAGATATCTGTCTACTTTTGTTGATCTGCAAAAACATCCAAGGCTTATGCACGCTTCGCGTTCCTGTGACAGTTTTTTTTGTGTGCTGTTATTTTCGATGTTATTGTTGTGTTGATACCCTTCCAATATTCAGTTTCTTGTCCAGATGTCCAGACCAACAGAAGATTAAAAAGCCCAGTTTGTTAAGTGTCATCTAATAAGTCGTTTTTACAAGTAATGTAGGATCTAGACTTATTCCATGTATAGCAAAACCCGAAACGTACGATGTCGAGGGTTAAAAAATGATATTACAATACTCGAGGTTTCTCCATTAAGTGTACCTTGAATTTCAGGGTTTGGTGTGACGAAACTAGCGACCCAGTATTGCTGTAGCTTGTACCGATGTCCTGCCAGTAATGCCTCTCCCTTCAATGAGATGATAGGGTCAGACCTGTGTTAAAGCAGGCACCCTGTATTAAGCGATAGGTTGCCACAGTCTCGAATTTGTTTCCCCTTCATCACTTTAATTTTCTCCTCTATTGACCGGTCACTTAAAGTAGAACCACCCAAACAGAACTAGGAATAATCTTTCAAGTAAAATTTAATCCATGTTTCTTGCACAAAATTAATGTTATTAACATTTTTGAGCGAGCGTTTGTGCATTAAATGATAAATTATAGCATGAAATGGCCTTTTTGATCTTTTTTTTTTTCTGTCATATACTGCCCCTCTTCTGTGGAACCTTTGTTGTGCGCCCAACCTGTGTTAAGCGGTCACCTTGCCATTCCGCGTGAGTAACTGCTAATAACATACAGTTCTGTTTGAAGAGGGGCCTTGCCAATAAAGAGTCCTGCCTAAGAGCATAACGGGCTGACCCGGCCAAGGAACAGGAGATCCGAAGTCCAGTTCGCCAGCTCTTGTCTCGATGTCTGGAGAAAACTCTTAATTTTTGATACGTAACTAAAACTTTCTTTTTATTTATCCAGCTGGGTTGATAAATATTGCCTCTTCATGGTTAAAACTATCGAAATTACTGATTTATTATAAATGTTTCGTTACATTATACAGTCCAATGTAAGCATAAAATAAACAACAAACCTAAAATCCGTGAACAAAACGTATGCAAGTAAAAAGAAATATAGAAATTAAAGCCTGTTCAGAAGAAGCTATGTCTTGCTTGCGGTAAGGAAATCTTTCAAATTTTTCTTTGGGAATATTCTTTAATCGTTCCAATCCTCGTCGTGATTATCATTCAATCCTCGTAGTGATTAAATCAGAAGAAATAAAGCAACTAAATCTGTGTGACCTCTTGTCACCTGCCTTGAAATTTGCACATACCTTCAGTTTAACAATTGTTAAACTCGCGTGTAAAATACGACTTAGTTTTACAAATTAAAACAAACAGAAGACGTGATATATTCTGTAAAGTACTAGGGAGTCAATGACCTTTATACAAAGTAAAATAAAAAGTTTGAAAATGTAAGAGCATTTCTCAATTGAATATCATAGCCAAAACCAAAATAATCACAATGGCCGACCAGAACAAAAGTCAATATTTCAAGAGTAAATGAGAACTCAAAGTAAACACTCATATTTGACCTCAAACGCGGGAAAACGCAACTGCGCTGGTTAACACAGCGGTCAAAGGTCCGCCATGCGCTAGAGGATCAATTCTGACTGGCCGTGCGCCGATTCCCGCGGAAACCTTTAAAGGAAAGATAAGAAACAACCGCTGTCTCACAAAGTCAGCGAAATAAAATAGAAACGGTCCTGTAAGTCTGTAAAAGGAAACAAAAGTGTGGAAAAGGAAAACTCGAGACTTTTTGCACACCAATCTTATTCAAGTAACTTATTGGCTTTTGTGGTTGTTCGTAACTCGTGTGAGACAATTTGGTTTTGACAGCCCGAAAGCACTTTACCTAGTCATTACAACGATCGCACACCCACAGACCTTTGACCGCTGTGTGGAATTGGCTTTCTATCTGCATCGGAAAGTACGAGATAATGGTAAGATATTTTTTGCCTAGTCAAGGGGCGTAGAGCAGCAAAACGATAGATTACCGCTTTGGCTTCGATACTTAATTCGAAATTTTAGAAATGAATTCTGAAAATAAAAGAAATGTACTGCAAGTCAATGGCCATTTTACAAAATGGAATGTAATGCAGAAATGTTACAATAAGAAAAACGTAGCTTATTTCAATAGAGCGACAAAAACAAAGCAAACAAGACTAGCCATGATGGAAAGACGCGACACAGTAGAAGCAGACTTTCCTGGAGACTTTGCTGATAGCCGTAGTTTATCCCTGTGAGTGACAATCTTGTGGAAAGACACGTTATTGGGTGACTTGAACGGCTGAGCCACAGGATTCATCTTCGTAACTGGTCGACGCCTGTTAAAATCCTTCGATCTCTTCCTTACAAGAGTGAAGTTAGCATATGCGATGGCATCTGGATCAATCGTGATTGTCTTTCTTGAATTTTTGTATTTTTTTTTAGCCACTCGGACGATGTAACTTCCAGGCACTAATAAACGCCAATAGTCCCCATCCTTATAGGTCTTTACCTTTTTGGCGCGGTTCTCGATGATGATTTTCGCGCCTTCAATCGGACGGCCCTTCTCGTCAAAAACAAAGCCCCTTATTCCTGTGTTATGCACCAATTCGATGTACTTGAGCAAGGCCTCTCGGTTTGCGCGCCAGTAGGAGTAGAGGTAACGAGCCGGGGGGTACTTACAGCAACCAAGTTCCAGAGTGATCTCGAAGCAGTTTCTGTTAAAAAAAGGGTAATAATCATGGTGAATTACCATGATAGCTTGATTATCCTCAACTGAACGCAAAATAAGGACACTGTGTCATTGTTTTGATTAGAAGCAAATTCACACGACAGTTTGCCGTTTTCGAGTTATCAGTGTCATTACAGGTTGTCTCGGGCTCACGATGTAAGCAAACAACATCCTGGAATATCTTGTAAAGAGAGAAGTTAAACATTGGACATGAATGTAGAGCAAAGAAGGAAAGGGATACAAATCCAGCCAGTTCCAAATTCGCGATCTTATGCTTAACTTACAGAAGAAGTCGTTGACGAAATCGGCCATATACAAGGTTCTTATTTGATTAGCGCTCTAAACACCGCTTAGATCAGCAACAGAAAGCCTTCAGTTTGGAATTGGAGTATATTTTAACCTCGGTCTTCGACAATACCAAAATTATAGATCTTATTTATGAAGATTAAGGTAGACTGCTTACAAGCTGCTTACTGCTTACATTAGTACCGTACGTTTTATAATAATTGTAGTCCTGCATTCCTCCAGAAATTGGATACCAAGCTGCACCGTTTGTGATCCCGTCAGGAAACTTCTCTGTTCTCTGGATCGGACATAGAGGATTCCCGTTGTGCATTGTGGGATGTGTATAAGAATAAAGTTTGGCGATATTGACAAAAATGTCGTCATCCGGGGAGCTGTAGTATACTCTAGTAGCGGACCTCTTGAGCTCACTTGGGAGGTTGTCAAATGGATAGTTGGCAACTAATGTCCCACCGTGTAAGTTTGCTGACAGAACAAATGGTTCCCGATGAATCCAGTTCATAATAGCTTGTGTCTCCGGCTGTAGTTCATTAGTTTGTCCTTCATAAGGGTCTGGAAAATTTCTATTTAAATCCACCCCGTTTGCGTTGAATCTACCTTTAATCCCCGTGCAGCCCACATGAGAACTCTCCCATCCATCAGGGTTCATTGATGGTAACAGATGAATTCGAGTTGTATCAATTAGTTTCGTTATCCTCTGGTCGCGCCCGTAGTTTGAACACAAATGGTCAGCTAACATCAAAAGCAACTCGCGTCCCACAACCTCGTTTCCATGCATATTTGCCACGTACTTGAACTCAGGTTTGCCGGGCATATGTTTCCCAGGATTCTTTGTGATCTCGATTACCCATAAGCTCTTGCCCTGGTAGGATTTACCAATGGAATACAGCCGTGTGATGTTAGGATACTTGGCTGTCAGCGCCTCCAGTACCTGACGTAATGCAGTGTTGTTATGGTGGATGGGTCGCACAGGCAGGATATCACAGTGGGCCTCATTCACTCCGTAAACATAGTACACAAGAATCGCTAGCCAGAGAGTCCGCCATTTTGTTGCTGGTAACTTACTTTCCATCACTCCTGCTTTTAAAAAATAAAAAACAAATAAAAAAACAAATAAAGCGTATTAATGATTTATCCTTGAAAGAAATTGCTATCTCGAGCTTAGAGCGAAATAGTAGCATACTATTCCCTAAAAATACTTTATTCTCTTCACAAAAATAAAGTTTGCACAGTTATTTCGAATTGACACTATCCTTCAAGAAAGATCCTGCAATTGTTGGCGTGTTAGAGATTTGTTTTTCTCTACAACGCCATTTCGAAAGAGCTCACACTGACCCTTTTTTTGCGCCCAAATGACGCTGGTTACGCTCACCTACTGGTTTATGAAGACAGCGGTCACAGCGCCTTTGTACAATGTGACCGTCCAAGGTCTAAACGGTTCAGTTGATGACATGTTTAAATGAAGGGAAAGCCGAGGTTGGTACTCATATTTGACTTGCTAAAAGGACAACGCTGTTCTTACGTTCAGCGCTTTGCAAGCCAAAACGTAGTTTAATAAATTGATAATAAAACTATGCCTGTTCTCAAAGCCAAGTCCCAGGGCATCCCGTGTTGCTGCATGCGGTTAGGAGGGCTCGACTGACAATTCGCAACCGCTCTCTGGTTGAACCACAGAGATAATTTCTTTTATTTCGATTCTAGAAACATTTCGCTTGTTACTTTTGAGCGAGTATTATTATTTTGAGTGCAGCTATGTCCTCTTCTTAAATCTTAAATCTTAAATCGTCTTTTTCTTAAATGAGAATTAGCTTTTAGATCCCTTGGGGATTTCCTCTTTGCTACTCTAAATTAAAACGCTTAATCTGATTTCTTTTTTCACCATTTCTTTGATTGATGATTGGAGGGAGGTGCATTCAACTCATCATGGCTAACAAGATTTAATGAAAAGAAATTTTGGACATGATGTTTCACCAGTTGTTGCGGAACAATTTCGAATTCTTGCCATCATCACCGGATACTTGGTTTGTCGGATCTTAACCCTTTTAAGTGCTTCAAGAATAACATCGAAATGTCACGTGTTGGCAACACATTACAACATTGTGTTTTGAGAACTCTTAAGCAGTTACAAAGATTATTGTCGTTGTATTAGCCTTTCCCGAAATATTTCAGATGCTTAAGATCCAAAACTCATTCCCGGCTATTCAGTATTTTTTTTGTTCCTCTCCATTCTGCTCCATTTGCTAAATATTGGGTAATGTATTTCATAATATTATCGATTGAGACATTCGTAGGTTTCAAGGCACATACAAAGCATAGCGCCGCCGTGTAACGGCGAATAGTTAGCGGACACAATTACACAGGGTGCTGAGAGATACCACCAAGATTACATTTCAGATGCGTTTGAAAGTCGCAGGTGGCTGCTGCAATATCAATAGACTCTTTCTAACAGTAGGCACAAATAAATCTTCTAGCATAGTTCAATGTTTCAGGACGTTTTACGGCCACTAGCCTGAAATAATAATATCCATTGTCTTTGTTGTGGACTTGGAAAGGAAAGCGGGAACCGGATAAAGGAGGTTTCCCAATAAGCACGAGGTTTGGCTAGTCTTGGGCGGCTCTCGTGGATTAAATTTCACGACTATTTGTGAATAATAGGGTTCCAAAGTCTTTCCGAAAACATTGAAAGAATAATGCAAAAAAAAAAATGAGGAGACATCATTCATTTGTACTGTCAACTTCGTGTCTAAATCTTGAGGACAAGCGCTAAGAACTTCAGGAAGCGTGACCACTTAGCTTTCAAACAATTATTCATTCAACAACTTTGTGGCCTCTGACTCACCTCGTCTGCTCGCAGCAGCTTGCTTAACGGAATTCTTTTCTTTACCACCGGCACAATAGTAGACTTTGACAAGATGCGTCCTTCCCAAACTGTACAGACAAATTCATCCAAGACCGATATGAACTACAGGATCGGAAACGTGTTCGACACCTCAAAATCGCAACTGGAAAGGAAGGTCTGGTTCACGAACTATTCAACAACACACACTCTGTGATTTGATCGGTTTTCTGTTAAATCACTTCCGGTAGATCTCAAACCGCAAAACCGCCAAATCTCTTCAACTCCTGGAGAACAATGGCATCTAGAAACCTCTATTCATTGTTTTAAAGATCGTGGCTTGTTATTTCTGGCGAAAGCAGCCACAATCAATGAAGTATTATCGCTACTGTTTCCTGTCTTCGGAGAGAAATATCACGAACTTAAGTCCTGTGCTAAGTAGCCTGTTAAAATCCTCCTCAATTCTTCGTCTCGAAAAGGAGCGTCAACGCGAGCATAGACCACTGCTATTAGGGATTTTTCAGCGGGAAATACACAAAGGTTACAGGGAAGCGCTAAGTTCGTTACGTGATTAATGATCCCCTTGTCTGGAATTGATGTTTACCTTAGTACCCTATCCTCTCTTTTTTTTTTTACGTAAACTTAAAACTACAACTGCTTTTAATTTCTACACCACACAAATCCAAGCCAGCATGCATGGATGGCGCCACAGCGGCCGAAAAAAATGACATTTAAGCAACACCCCACGCTGTGATGGGATTTCCCATAAAAATCCTAATTTCTGTTTCAAACTAATACAATCTGTCATACGCCTGAGTTTTTGCTTGTGAAAATAAAAGAAAACGGAGATTCACCGACGGAAAAATACTACGTCTCAATAAGTGACTGACAAACAAGCTATTGACGGTGGAGTAAGTGTATTTATTTGGATAGCGAGCGAGTAGGTCCTTATTCTTAACGTTGCGGATCGCGCGTTTCTCCGCCCGCGGGAAGATTTTACACAAGTCGAGGAGACGTTTGACGGGGCTCTGACTGACCTCTCGCCACAGGTAGCCCAAGCTCGCAAAATGAGCCTCCTTAAATAAGCAAACACTGTATGTTTATGTTGCGCAATGGGCGAAATATGAGGATTTGTATGGGAATAACCGCTCGCATTCTCAACCTAAAATTTCGGAACTAATTTGAAATTAAAACAAACTTACACCACTTAATTGGTTGTTCCCTTGTATCGTACCGTCGTGAACTATCTGGGCTGAATTAGGACTATTTCGTTCGGTTTTATATATACTTCAGAACAGTATACAGTCAGCTAGATTATAATGTACTACACTGCCGCATTTTTGCGCCTCACACTCTTTATTAAGAGCAAAATGAGTGTGTCGGTTTTAGATGTAGATCGCTATAACATGACTAAATGTAACACTTCTTACAGAGGACCCCCTAATGTAAGGATATTATAAGCTGTCAATGGAAACTTTCTCTTGTAAATGTGAGACCTGAATCCATGAAAATTACCGGTGGGGCCACTCCTCTCTCCATTTTCACAGAGTCCTGGGTTAGTAACAAAAATGTAACCGAACATTTTCACGATATTTCAGTACTCATTTTTAAACTACTATTGACTAGGCCACCTAAATAACATTTTACTAATCATTTTTGTCAAGAAAATGAACCACCAATGTCCACATCAAATTACGGTCGAATTATCAATTTGCCTGCGAGATTTAAATTTTTCTTTGTTTTGGCCAGTTTTTCTAAGTAAACAAACCTGGAATTGGACCGTCACCAGGAGAAAGGTTAAATACATAAACCAATGATATGAACCTAACAGAAAGAACATATAATTTTTTGGCTCCTTCATTTGATCAGTTTTCTTCTTTTTTTTTTGTTGCATGTTACATGAAGTAAACTAAAAAGTTCATAGTGTCTATTCGTCGAACATCTTTGTTTCATCATGTCAGGTTCTGCTGACAAAGATATATGTGAGCGAGGAAAAATGGTAGATTGTAACGGTCTTGTTCTTAACGGTTTTAAGCTGTTTGAACTCACTACCCGTCTATCAATTACACCACATTAACATGACATGAGAGAATATTTATCCCTGTACGATAAACTTGAAAATTTATGGCTTTCCTTCTGTCGGAAAAATTGCGGTAAACTGAGTTGTTATCTTTCGAATCAAGGCAGTTTGTTTCGAAAACTGCTTGTGTGCCACGACTTAAAACGTAGTACATACGACTGATCAACGTAAACAAGCTCTAGGAAACTGGCTATTTCGAACGAAATTATCATCGAGCGTTTAAAAAACATTAAAAGATTTCGTAAAAGATTTTATCTCTAAAATATACTGTACCACAAAACGTTATCGCATTTTTTAAACTACAAAATCAGGGTTCAATGATTAACCCAAATATTAAATTAACCTTGAAACCTTACCTTACCTTACCGGCACCTGTTGCCCGCTTCAGTGACCTTGATTTCCCGTCAAGAAATCCATGAATCATCAGACACTTCAGAGAGATTTGCCGTGAAGGCCTGACCTTTCTATGTTCTCCTGATTAGCAGTTGACGATAAATTCTCATAGTGAGTAAATGAGATGGCAAATCTTTCACTAAAACAGCTTGTCTATATTTAGATGAGATAATCTCGTGGAAATTAAACTTAATGTAAACATGACATCAATTTTCCCGGGACCACTTGCTTTTGGCAATGTCTGCAGCGCACTACTGCAGGTTGATAATTGTTTTCTGAAAGGCATTCGTCTCCTGTTTTTGATATAGAATAATCTTTTTTAGATCTATCAAACCTTAAACTCTTTTTCGAAAAAAAAATACCGGGGTCCAGTCGTAATTGTATAAAGAGTGGATAAAGCCATCCAACGGATAAATAGGTACCCAGCGGATATGTGATGGCAAAGCGTTTACCGTTATCCACTGTATAGGGATTTTTTTGTGGATAGTGTTACACGACCTTCGGACAATCGAGGCCAGATTTGTCGCGAAACACTTACGTGGCCCTCGTTATGATAACGAGGGTAGTACTTAGCGCGCGGGAAAATGTGGCATGCAACGTCACAAATCTCGTGGACTGTTCGCGTCAATGGAGTTCGCCACAGCATCATAACGTCTGTTTGAAAATTGTTCTGTACTCGGTTTGCTTTTATATTGCCGTTTGAAATAAGAAACTCTCCATACACAAAAGAAAATGAATGGTGGAAAGACTGACAAGTTTCCTGTCATTGCTAAAGGTAAGTTTTCTAGTTTGCGGTTGTTTAGTTTCAGTTTTCATAGTTCTTTCAAAGTTTGTTACTTGTTTATCTCTTTCACATCGTCTTCGCAAAAAAGAGCCCCAAACATTCGTTGAGAATCAGCTCCAAGACAAAGATCGTAAACCTGAGTCCGGTGTAACTGAAGGAATGGTGGAGAGGCAGAAACAAGCTAGTTCTCTTATAGAAATGTTTCAACAAGAGGCGCTGAATGAAAAACAAACTCGCCTCCTCGCTCAGTTGAAGGCGCTTGAAAAGGTTTGCTTTGAGCTTTTATTGAACATGTAAGCTTCATACTGATGATAGCTTTGATATCAGGAAATAAATTACTTTTCAGGACAGGTTAGCAACAGATGCGTGGAAAATAATTGCAGCTCTGAAGAAGGAAAAAGGATTGCTTGAGGTAAAACAGCAAATAAACGTTCATCTCTTAAGTCAAGCTTATATCTCTATTGTTGTTGTTCTCGTTTTAAAGTTTGCCAACTGCACAAAATCATTTTTCTCTAAATGTTAGGGTCAAGTTCAAAAGCTCACAGCACAAAACAGCAACCTCACTGGTGGAAAAGATGGAGCTGGAAATTGCAAAAGGTAAGCTTTAGCATAGAAATGAATTGAGGCTAGCGATCTCTGACACGGTTTTCAAAGTTCAAATGTGTCCTTAAACTACTGTAAAATTGATGTTAAAATATTTTAAAAATCCGATAGTCTCGCCGATCCACAATGACGCCGTGGATCGGCGAAAGCTTTGATTTATTAACTTTTTAACATCAATTTTACAGTATTTTAAGGCCTCATTTGATCTTTTGTCAGTTTTATTCTCTAAAACACTACTGAAGGACAACATTCAACGATTAAGAAATTTACAATTTAAGTTTTACAAGGTAAACTAGTCAATTCAAGTCGTCATCATTTTCATTAATATGTCATTTTCTTGACATAGCTAAACATTGAGTTCGTTAAAAATGCAAAAAAGATAATTTCTTTCGACTCTGTTTAATTTGATCGCTTTAGAACTCAAATAAAACCCAACGAAACTCAAAATGCGAAAGACAAGCTTACGCATATCCAGAAAGATAACAGCAACGAAAGCAGTATGAACAAAATTAGAGGTAAGAGGAAGAAATAAAATTATTGTTGAGTGTTAGTAAGAAAAATAAGTCATGAATTGATCACATTTCAAATTACAGATGAGCTCAATAAAGTTTTAACCGCTGTAACTTGTGGAGTAAAAGACAAACAAGCAACGGTAGGTTGTGTCTTCAGAAAACAATTTAAAAACTCTGTTCTATTGTGCATGAACTGACAGGACGCGAGAGCACGAAAAGCTCTGTAGAGAGAAACTCCGCTCACTTAGTCGAGTCCTCTTTTTTGGCTTTATAGTAAATCTGATAATGAACCATCATATCAGCCTGGCACTTGACTTGTACTTTGCTAACATCGCTCGAGTCTTCCACAAATCCCAGTAGTTTTTAAGGGGCTACTGCTAATATCGCAAAAACGATCTCGATATTTATTACTATTCCCGGACAGTCGTTAATACTGTCGGCTTAGAAACGCATAATGTTTTAATTAACTAATAAGTAATAACTAGTTATCTTGTCAAGTCACGGTCATAACTGGCTGCTTTATTTAATGGATTCTATTAATAATCGACATTGTAATAAAAAATCCGTAAAAATTCAATTTCATCTGCGTAGAGCGAGATTTGCGATGCTCTTATCATTGAAACTTGACTTTTTATTGATATTTTATCGTTATTTACTTTTATGGTGGGTAATCTCTTTTACAGGGAAAAGAAAATAAAGATAGTATATCGCCTCTGAGTCCTTCAAATTATATCAAGAAATCAGCACAAGTCCCGGTAGATACAAGGTAATAGTTTCATCGATCATTCATTGATACTTGTCTTTATATGATCATTGTGATACCCTGTCAGATAGTATTAAGTTGGGTTTTGGTGAATGCGCGCCTACTAGGGTATTTTTCAAACTCTATCAATGACAAATAATCTTGTAACTCTAAATCGCGACCTTTGAGCTTAGTTTCAACGAAACGTAAGGGTTCTTGTAAATGCAATTTAGCTCTCTGTCAACAAAACCGAAAACGAAAATGACAAAGCGAAACTGTGTATTACTTTTCGAATGTTATGTTCAGAACCAAAAGTGTTCTCGACTAACATGCAGACCAAGGTAAAATATGAAAGATGAAAGTGTACGAAAACCCAGTCGAAAATGAATTTTCATACCATGCCATAAAAAGTACAGTCAAACAACTACAGTGTGATCGAGTTCACAAAAACCCTTTTTTTTCGCTCATGGAATTTGGGTTATTTCAGTTTTTGACAATGACATTTTGGCACATGCACCATCTCTCAGTCACATAGGAAGGCACCATTCAGCTGCCAGGTTCTTTCGCAAAAAACCAGAAGTGGTTTTGTTTTTGCCGTCAGTAACAGCCTATTTTTGGGCTCATCAATTGAATTATGTTTACGCATTTCCCTTCCAAGCAAACAGGAACTTTTAGTGAATATAGAGCCTTTTATTATTTAGCTTGTAAGCGTGTTGGAATTAAGGCTTGGCAAATTGTGGTTTAGTAGTGCATAACGAAGCTTTGAGTCACAGGATGTGACATAATGTTAGTTTCCTTTTTAGCTCTTTTCAAGCTTAAGGGTTTGTATGCATGTTAAGAAAATACAGTTGACTTTTGGCATATTCTGTAATGTACAACTTAAAATCAATGCATTTAGTATAATGAGGTATTCACTTAGTTGGGATCAGTCCCAAAGATACCCGTCGCTTCTTAAACCGAAGCAAAAGTTTTTGCTCACATTATCATAATAACAACATCATTGAAAATGCTAAAGACCTTCTTCAAAGGGGTTACATCAAACATCTACAGCTAAAAAACTTGTGGCCTTTGGGTGGCTGCAAGTTGAGAGTCAGTTAATTTTAGACATCGCAGAGGACTTTTTTTTAGGAAGGAAAAACAGGTTAAAGAATCTTACTACTATCTTTTCTCTGCATGGCATCCGAATATAAGAAATGTCACAGCTTCTTTTTACAACCCCCAAAAATAAAAAAATCTTTGGAAAAATCTTTACTTATTTTATTTAAAAATCGTTAATTTAGCCCAAACTGCACGAGAACAATCATGTGATTACTAGTCAATATTATACAAGCAAAAATACGACTTTGTTTTACTTTTTAGTTGCTTTTATTTCGTGTCATGGCTCTCCGGTTCGGTCGCTTGCCTATAACCTGTTGCCGAAGGCCAAAACTGCACGACACAGTTCAATTACCACTTCATTACATCCATTTTAAAATCGCAAGTTTCAGTCGCTCAAATACAGGAGTTTCAAGTGTGTACAAACAGTTTATTAATCCAGTTCTGAGTTTTTCTTAAACAAGCCTAGAGGTCTGATTGTTTGTTGTGTTATAGTACAGTTTTCTCGCTAGCTGGGAAGAGATGCGATTTAGAACGAAAATGGTGCGATTCGTTAAAGAATCGCACCAGTGAGAGCCACTCGGATTGCAAGAATCACCAGCGATTTCATAATAATTGTAATAAATATTCTAATTATCTAATTATTATCGGTGATTACAACTGTTACCAATCTTATGTATTGTAGATCATGGGTCAGTGGGGAGGTTCCTTTCAGAATCCTCTGCTCTTCTTGAGTTCGTATCTTTATTTTCTTTTAGTACGCATTGTGTACCCCTCGCAGAGGAAAAACTATCAGAAAGATCGGCCGATAGTTTTAAAGGTAAGGCCTATCGAGCACTTTACAGCTTTGATCAATTTAGGGGTCTGGGCCCAGTTGTTCGAAGGCTGATTAGCGCTAACCCAGGGTTAAGATTTAATCTGGGTTTCTTTATCTCTTTCTTCAAAAGCCTTTTCCAGATAATTTTCTTTATTATTTTTGGAGCGTCTAAGCATCACATTGTAGGCAAAAAGAATTATACTGAATGTTCTTTCAAAGCTTTCATACCTGAGGTCAGATTTTACATTAACCCTTGGTTATCTTAACTTAGCTTTAAATAACCCAGCCCTGATGCATACGCCAAGTCGAATTGATGTCTATTGTTCTATGAATACATGTTGCAGAGCCTCAGGTTCATGCGGCTGGTGTATGTGGACTGCAGAATCTCGGCAACACGTGTTTTGTGAATGCAGGCTTACAGTGCCTCTTCGGTGTGACACCATTCTGCAGATTCTTTTTAGGTATGATATATAGATATTTTCACGCGATAAAGGTGAACAATGGGAGATACAGGAATGCACAATCTTTCAAGGTCTATCATGGCATCTCATGTAATGACTATCGAGTTTATACGTGTTTAATCCCTTTTCCACAGGGTGGATCATC